GTAGTCTCGTCTTAACACTCCCCTTCAAACTCTTACTAGGTCTAGTAGACTTGTAAGATGTTTGCTTACAGTATGTATAGATGGTTTAATCATTATAACTGTATTGTACAATTGTTCGTTCATGTAATGCGTTTATAACTTGATGTAGTTAATAATAATATTATTAGCATTATAGTAATGCATTGTCTGTTCTGTGTATTGTCTGTTCTGAATGTTATCCACTTTGTGTTAAGTTTGTCCAATGTTATATTAATTAAGTATATTTAATTAGTTTGTTCGTTTGTAGTATACTGTTGAATAACAGCATTGTTATCACAATAGATTGTTTGTAAATGTTATTAAATAATTTGTAAATGCTTCAGAGACCTGCAGAATCTTGTCAGCATGCATAGGTATGTATATGCACATATTTAAATCATAAATGCAATTGCTTGTTTTATTTTATTGTTTGTTATTCAGTCATATTGTTTGTTATTAAGTTTGTTTGAGTACTCTAGTAATTTCCTTTTACTTTGCTGTGAAACTAATGAATCATGCTAGTAAAATGTATATTTGATGTTGTAATGATATCCTTCTTTAATCATCACTGTCCACGTTTGTCTACGTTTGTATATGCATTAAGCATTCAGCAATAGCTGATTTATGTCTTTGGATTGAAGTGTCACATTGATTGTATATCAATAATAATATTTGTTTTTGCCAGATTGCTTCATTCTGAGATCAATGAGGTTTTATACTAACATATATTTGTTGCATAGATGTTATGTCTGGCCACAGGCAGCTCACTATGTGTCTAGGTGCATTGTATATGTATTATATCATGAATGTATTGTTTGTTCGTTTGCTTTACATTATTGTTTATAGTTATGTATTAATTTATTAACATTATGTTTGTTAATTGATTGTTTCTGATGCATCCTGAGTAACTATACAATCTGTTGCATTGTTTCTTTAATAGCCAACATAGTTATCCATTGTAAATCATTACTAACGTGCGTTTGTATTATTTATCATTAACAATGTTATTGTGAATCGTTGTGATTGTAGTATTGTGTATATATATGTGTGTATGTTATGGCTATTGTTCTTTGCTTTTTCTTTTTACAAAGAATAATGTATTGTAACACAATCTGCATATAAGTGATATATTAGATTATGTTTACTATAATTGTTTCCTAGCATTCTTTAGTTAATCTAGTGCTATACACAATTGTAGTATTTGTTTGACATTTTATTTGTTAATTGGTTTGCTAGGTAAAACGTTTTATATATTGGTTTTGTTTATTTTATTTGAATCATTGTATAGATATACCTATTAGTATCTATCCAATGTAATTCATAGTGTTATAATGCTGTTCACACTTGTATTAATTGCACAGTGAGGGCAAATTAATTGTTTGTACAAGAATCAATTTAATAGTTTTATTTAATTATATGTATGTACTCTATACTTGTTTATATAGTTATTATCTGTGTATTGTTTGTTGTAGTTGCAAATTATATCACAATTATATTTGTATTATCATATAGATATATTATTTATTGTTTTATGTACGTTCCAAAGTATTATTTTTGTTATTCATCACTTTTATCCATGAACTATAGTTTGGATAAATGAATTATTTTGTTATATGATGTGATAATTGTCTGTATATTATTTATTTTCGTATTAAACACTGTTAAGTTAATTATATTATCATATTAATATTATTTGCCAAGTATGAGCATTTGTTTCATAGTAGAATTATTATTTATTTAATGTTGAAGTTCAATTGCACATTGTATTGACTTCTGTTATTTAGTTCCAATCAACATAGTTTTGCTTTGTACTGAATGATTTACCTTTATGATCCATTATGTCTGTCTGTAACTTCTATTACTTAGTCAGTACTTAGTCTGTGCATTTTGTTATTCTATTTTTCTATTTTTTGTAGCATCCATAGCATTATACTTTCCATTCCATTGTTTATATTTAGTTATTAATTTTTCGTGCATATTATCCATTTTCTCCCCTTCAATTCAAGAAGGTATTTCTTTAAAGAATTGGATATTTCTTAAATTTGTTTATTAATTGTTGTTATAATATAATATTTATATATAATAATTGTAATTGCTTTCATAGTTCAATTTCTAATTATTAGTATTTTAAAGTAGTGTGTAACGTTTGTTATGTTCTATAATGAGTAATTTAAATGTTATTACTATTATATCTTTGTTACTGTTAACATTTGTCAACTTATATAATGTGTATTTTGTTTGTTATAGTAGATAAGTACACATTATGTTACAAGTTATGTGTGCACTTGTTATCTTTTATTAATTATCGTTTGTAATTATGAATGAATATTTTGTTTTTGTGTTGAAAACATATAGTAATTTGTTTGTTTTTGTATAATATTCATTTAATAATGTTGTAATTATTATTTATGTAGTGCTTTTAGTAAATGCACTGAGTTCTATTAAGTATGCTTGTGTCTGTTATTACCTATTTTATATTATACTGTCTGAGATAATAGCTTAAACATTTTATTAATTTATTTAATCATATTATATTATGATTGTTTTCAATCATAATTATTATAATAATGTGTTTGTAATAATTATATTTGTATTATTTGTTGTAATAGCTTTATCAGCTTAATACTTTGCTCCTATGAGCTAATGTAAATTTAATAATTGTTTGTTAAGGTATATACACTGTACAGTTGATGTTGCTGTTGCAACTTTGAAATTTATTATATAATTAACACGTTCTGTATAATTAAGTTGTATTGATGTGTTGTTTCAAGTATAATAGAGATATAATTCTTTCGTTTGTTGTTAGTATACATTTACACAATTGTATTAATGTGTAAAGTAGTATCATTTGTTTAATAGTTATAATTTTTGCACTTGTCTTGTGCCATAATCAGTATTTATACATTATAACATTATTCTTTTGTGCATAGTTAGTTTATACACTCTGTAGCATTGTTTTTTGGTTTGTAATTATTCATTATACTTTTGTATATCTGTACTCGTCTGTATATCTTAGATATGTGTATTATATTCAGTATCCAATAAGTAATTGCAATATCTGACATGTAACTACTGAATCTGATATGTTACATATAATTGCTCAACCATAATATGTGTTAGTTATTATATTGTTCTGTATTTGTTCTGTTAGTTCTATCTGTATTATTATCATTATTATCATTATTATTGTTGTTATTATAGTGTCTGCAATTGTATTATCAGCTATAATACATGTTAAATGTTTTATTTATTCAATTTAATATGCTGTTTAGCATATATGTGCTCGTTTTGAGCATTAATTGTTCAGCTGTGATATTACTATATGTGTTATTATTTGATTTATGCTATAACATATGTGTGCTTGTTGGCAGTGTCAATCATTTGTACTATTGTAATGTTAATAGTGGAAGAGTAGTGTTTGCTTTATTAATCTTTTTAACATTCATCCATAGTATGATCAGTTAATTTATTATAACATGATCTCCATGATATTATAGAGTATTTCAGCATTTAATAATCACAGTAAGTGATACTCATCATAGTTTCAACATTGCCTGCATAGATTACATTATTACTGGGCCAATGATCATAATCACTAAGATGACAATCATATAATGTCTGGGTTGTATGTAGTACAGTAGATCATGCATCTGTAGCATATTGATTCGTGTTTGGGATACTCAGACAGGTGAGTCAAGTTCTGCATCATATTATGCTGTGTGTGTGCATGTGATGTATAGAACTGTATAGAGCATAGACATAGTAGAGTGTAGATAAAGTGTAGGCAGGGAGCTCAAGGCTCATAACCTGTTAAGAAAGGGGAAAGAGAGGTTATGTGAGAGGCTTAGAGGGATCACACAAAGAGGGGGGATAGTGGACTCGGCTCACTCTCTTGCAGCTTGCTTCATTGTCTGTTGATTAGTTAGTCTATATATATTATGTAGGTATGTCTCAGATGTAGAATGTATGATGGAAGGTATTCCATCATCGTTCGTCATTGCTTGTAATGTAGTTTATATCATCTGAGACATACTCTTGTGTAGTCTTGTCTTAACACA